CCACACACACAAAAAAAAAAGAAGAAAAAAGAGTTACTTTGTCCAGTAATGAGTTAGATTTTTTACACTCCGTATTAATGGAGAGAATTAGGTCGAATAGCCATAGATGCCTTTCAAAGTGCATGTTAGAAGGTTGAATGGTTTTGCTTTTATATGTAGGAAGTCTGGACTGTTGGAACGTTAGTATTGTCTTGACTGCCATATTTACTGTGAACGTAAGGCGCTATGTATGGTTACTTTCTAAAGCTGTTACCACTTGTCTTTCTCTGGTACAGATTCCGGAAGCTCATCTGGTGATGAATCAGATGCTGGTAAAGATTCAGTTCCTAAAACTGTTCAGAAGGTGTGAATATTGTAGCCTAATTTTATTATTTATGTGGTTCTCTTATCTGATGTAGTTATTATAAGGCTGAATACATATGCAGCCCCTTAAACTTGTCCAATTCTTCATTTAGACACCTGAACTAAGAGTTGTTCCTATTGAACACCTAAACTCAAACCAATGTATACCTATTAGACATAAAGAGTTGACATGGCACAAACAGTGAGATTCATTTACTTTGGGCGCGTGAAGATGTTAAAATTCAGCTTACATGGATTTAACAGGAAAAAAAAGCACCCAAAATATATTTACTTAATTCTAAACAAAAAGGAAAAAAAGAATGAGCTTCAGGATGCTTCATCTCGTCGGACGTCTGGGAAACTTGAGAAACAATAATCATATGGTGGAATTCTCAACTAAGTATAGATCTGATTGTGGAAAGTAGTTGTCCTTATGGATTCTAGCGATCAAAAACCCACCTAATGATTATATGTTTGATCTTTGATCTTTGGCTTGCCGTTTCCGGAATTAGGTGTTTAACGGATTGCTAGAGATTTTTTCTAGAAATCTCTCTTCCTTATATATATATAGAGAGAGAAAGAGATAGCCTTCTATTTGCATCCTTTGTAAGCAAAACTTGCAGAGAAGCTCTCAATTAAAGCAATACACAGAAATTGCAGCACCCCCACCTTTCATGGAGGTTTGACGATGGCAAAGATAACATGAAGGAGAAAGAATTTAGACGACTAAATCGCATAAAAACCTGAGAATCATTCCTTATCAGGAGAAAGCCATAAATTCAAAGAAAACCCGAAATATGGGGAAGAAGACATGGGGGGCGACGAGCAGCAAGGGAGGTCGTTAACAACCAAGAACAGAAAAGATGGGGAGATTCTGGGAACAAAATTGCAAAGAGTTTTTTTTTTTTTTTAATTTTTTCCAGATGTAGCATATTGCTTCGTCAGATTTGCCATGTCAGCGGCATGTGACAATCACGCATTTTGTTTTGGGAGAGATTTGCAGTTAGATGTTCAATAGGACACATTGCTTTGAGTTCAGGTGTTCAATAGGAACAACCCTTTGTTTCGGTGTTTAAATGGAAAAAATGGACAAGTTAAGGGGCCACATATGTATTTAGCCTTATTATAATAACTGATGCCTTCAATTTCCTTCTAAATTCATGTTGTTCTTCCGCAGGCAACAGCGGCTTCAGGGGGGAGAACCGAGCAGGAAGATGAGCTTGATCTTCCAGAGACTAAAGGTTGTCAGCCTGTGGAATCAAATATCATGATTGTCATAGCTGCTTTTTCCCTTTAAATCTGTGGGTAGTGGGAAGATTTTGATAGCTATTTTGGTCAGTATGTGTGCTGATAGTGTTTGTGTCATACAGATTCCCTGGCTGACCTGCTGAATTCCGAGAAAAAGTCCATTTCTGCTGAGCCCGATGATCATCGAGAGGGTAAGCAATGGTAATAGATGAAGAAAATGTCTGGTACTAGTTTTGCAGCATCATCTCACACATCCTGTGCTGTAACCTTTTAGAGGAGAGTGCTGAACCTGAGAGGCAAGTCTCTCCTGAGAAGCTTTACCGCGCAGCTTTGTTAAGAGGTCGGTTTGCGGATATCATACTAAAAGCTCAGGAGAAGAGCCTTGAAAAGGTCTGTCAAACTTTACTTGCTGTTGCCTGTGTTAAGTTAGATTCTTTAGTTCCATTCATCCAGGGTGTCCTATTGTTTAGCTAAAGAATGTTTTTACAATTTTAGGGTGAAGTGCGGGACCCTGAAAGGCTAAAGCTCGAGAAAGAGGAGTTTGAAAGGCGAAGGCGAGAAGGTTTGTTTTTGTTGTTAGCATGCATGAAATTCCACGATGACATCTCTGAAACCACCTCTTTATTTTTTTATCTGCTTATTCAGAGAAAGCTCGCTTACAAGCGGAAGCTAAGGCTGCCGAAGAGGCTCGTAGGAGAGCCGATGCAGAAGCTGCTGCAGAAGCCAAAAGGAAACGAGAACTTGAAAGAGAAGCTGCCCGTCAGGCACTCCAGAAGGTAAAGACAGATGGGGTGGATTTATTGGGATCATCTTTTACTGTCACTGTATAACTCATAAATCACATGTTCGCAGATGGAGAAGACTGTTGAAATCAATGAGAACAGTCGATTTTTGGAGGATCTGGAGTTGTTTAAAGCTGCTCCAGATGAACAGTTAGAGAGCTTCATTGAGGAAACGAGTCCTGGTCATTCTGAGAATGTTCTTGGCAGTTTCAAATTTAAGGCAAGTAGTAATCCGTTGGAGCAACTAGGGTTATATATAAAGGATGACGAGGAGGAAGAAGAAACTGAACCACATAGCGTTCCTGCCGTATCGAATGATCCGGAGGAAGGAGAGATTGATTAATGTCCCTTTCTTTTGAATCCTTGCGCGTGGTGCTTTGATATAAATTTCGTTTTGTGCTGCCAGGGCAGACTGGAAGAAATAGGGTTGGGAGTCCACAAATGAGAAGCATGAGCTTTTAGAGACTTTGGGTCTCCAGTGAAAGTACTAGGGAGTGGCTAGTGCTAGGCAGATACAGTTTTGTTGCATGATTACATAGTTTAGTACTAGATTTCAGCTATATTTAATTTAAGTAAAAGAAAAATGTTGTTAAAAGGTGCATCGGTTTTTCGTCCACAAATATCATTCCTGCCCGAATCTTCCATTTGTTGAGTATGACCATAAAATAATTCACGTTCAATAACTAATGGTGCGGAACATGTATGTCGTCCAATCCAAGACCCAATTTTGCCTACCAATTCTTTACAAAATTTTATACCCCAGTTGGGGAAAAGCTAAGCAGAAAAGTAATCTCAAAACATAAGATGGAAAAAAAGGAAGCCATCTGCTCCTATGATAGGGCAGAGTAACCTATTCCTACAGCATGGCGTAACCTTTTAATCATCACACCCGCGACAAGGAGACATAATGGGGAAGCTGAAAAATTCTACATAACCATTCCACCATCAATAGTAAGAACCTGCAAAGACAATAAATGCAATACCCCTTTATATTGTGTCAACGAAGAAAAAAAACATTTAGTAATGCAATGGCCCCTTTATACGGTAGAGTAAGATGATTTCAATACCTGTCCAGTAATATAGCTGGCTGCAGGACTTAGTGCGAGGAATTCCACCAATCCAGCAACTTCTTCTGGTTGACCATATCTTCCTGTCATCGCAACAAAATTTGTCAGTAGATTTAAAAAACAAATTACTGATCTTACTGATCATAGTCAATCAGAAGTGAAATATCATCAACTTTCATAATGTATACAGAAAAAATACTCGTAGGACACTGCAAAACCTCACACAAACGAGTATATTTATGCATCACAACACAATCTTTCTACTCAGAACATTATCTGTTCATTTGAATGTATCAAGCTCTGGACCAATTCCTGATAGTTTTGCAGCTCCAATTTAATATTGCGTATGTCTAAATTACGTCAGATTTGATGGGTCAAGATATTTGTTGGTTTGGGATCTTGCAGTAAATGCACATAAATATATTGTGAATTGTATTATAGTCCCGTTCAACTTGGGAGTCTTAGGTGGCAACTGTGAGAGTTTGGAATTTTTCCTGAAAGTGATTGTTGTGAGGAAAATAACTGTCAACCCAGAAATTCTTGCAAGTTGAAAACACCCTTTGTTGAGTTTTTCAAGAGCTTATTAAAAAAAATATGTTTGAATATTTTCGCAAACATTTCAAAGAACCTCCAAACACTCGCACAACCGCCACCTAATCAGTTGTCTAAGAAGTCAATTTCTATATGTTTCCATATTTGATGTGCAGGACAATGTCGCATATGAGAAATAGTTGTCAATCGTAGTCTAAGGAGATTACCCCTTACCTAAGGGAACACTAGCCAAAATTTTCTTCTCAATGTCATCACTTAGCTTAGAAGTCATATCTGATGCAATGAATCCAGGGGCCACAGCATTAACCTGATGAAAAACGAAGATTGTGGGTAAATAGTCAGTAGCTTGTCCTTGTTGAAAAGAACTAATTCCTTTCTAGTTGACATTCCAATGTCCCAAAGTTGCTTATATTAAGAGAAGATACTCACCGGAGTGAATAATCAGTCGGATTAAGGAGCACTTACAGTTATATTCCTGCTGGCATATTCTTTTGCGACACTTTTGGTTAATCCAATCACTCCTGCTTTTGCTGCACTATAGTTGGCTTGCCCAGCATTGCCAACTAAACCAACAACAGAGGATATGTTGACTATTCTCCCCTACAAATATTTAGAGAAGGTTTCTAGGTAAAATTCTGGAGTATATGGAACAATATAAAAGAATGCATTATGATTTGTATGAATAAGTACAGCTTCAAATTGACTGAAAAGGCAAAAATCAAACTGTGGGCGGTAATTTATGCAGCAGTTAGCTAAAACTTTAACCTTGCCAGACTATATCATTTTCGATGAATTGCAATAGGGAAGGCGCAAATAATTTACCCTTTTCTTCTTCATCATAATTTTAGCGGCAGCCTGTAACAAGGAAAAAGATCTCATAAAAAATGTCTTCTTTGAAAAAGACTCAAGTTCAAGTCGAATTAAAACAGGGCAACTGTATAGACCTGTGTGCAGAGGAACACTCCAGTAAGATTCAAGTCGATAACCTCCTGCCACTGAGATTTCTTCATTCTCATCAACAAAGTATCACGTGTTATACCTGAAAAGAAGAACAAGACAATTACTGAGAGGTCATTCTAATAAACTAACACAAGACAGTATAACTTTTCTGAACCTGCATTATTTATTAAGATATCGACTGTTCCCCATCGATCAACCACCTGCATGCATGATCCTTACAAGGTGAATTTATCCAGAAACAACTGCAGTAAATACATATAAAACTAGTTTCACCAGAAAAGGAGTTTGCTTACAATTTTCATCATCGATTCTACATCTTCTTCTTTTGAAACATCACCACCAAAAGTCATCGCTTGGCCACCACATAATTCAATCTGCCAACAAGAAAGGAAATTAAAATTAATCTCGGGGAAGATGTCAAACGGCCTCAGATGAACTTTACCGCTGTTATCAGATTGCTGGTTGAAACAAGTACTCCTTCAGGTAGTGTTTAACATTATACATAGCACTTAACAAAAGAATTGGAAATCATTCGTCAAACAAGTATTTAACAATTACTACCATTATGCGCAAAATAAAAACTTAGTCCTGCGATATTTGATAGCATCAGCTACTAAATAGAAGAACAAGCCAACCTTCTGGTAGCACAAATTAAACAAAGCAAGTATCATGACTTAACTGGCACGAGATATCTCCAAATGACTTTGGTTGTCAAGATTACTCAGCCTTTCATAAAAAAGAGAGTAATCAATACAAGTGCTCCAAAAAGGTATTCTAGCAGCACTATTGGGTTTCAGTATATGAACTCATCAGATTCGTTGCTAGCTATTTTCTCATCAGAGCAATTCTGAATTTTATCTAAAATACAGAGAGCAGAACCACTTTGTCCATGGCTTACCAGTGTCTGAAGTTATACGAGACCTTGCTCTCCACTTCAGAAGATGTAGAACTGAGAGTATCCCTTAAGGCATCCAAGTACATATGATGTATTTGCCGCAGGTCCTATTAAAGTCCAAACAAGAATTTCCTACTTAAATTTCTGCAATTTCAGAAGTATTACTACTCTGGTTTTCTGATTTCTAGCAAACTGATGTTTACTTAGTATACTAGCTATCATGATTATATATAATAATTGTGGAGGTGAAATACAAGGAGCAACAGCTTGATACAGCATGTTGTAAGGACCCAAATCTGAGTGGAGCTCAATCATTTTAAACCTAAAAATCTCCAGTACTTCTAAGTGACATATGGCATCATTTTCAGTTGTTGGCCGGAAAACAGCATAAAAGTTGCCACAACAGAAAATAATTCAAATGGAACTGTTACCTTTACATGAATGCTCCTAATTTCTTATTCTGATGCTTTTACTCAAACATAATGTGTGCAGCAATGATCAAACCGTGAAAGACACGGCAGAAGTTTAAGAAATATGTTTGGCTTTAAGTATCATAGAATGCAGGACACCACAGAACACTAAATAAATGCTAGGGGAAACATCAATAGTATTTATTTGCTCTTCTAATTGGAGATGAAGGGGAAAAAAAGATATCAATGAAATACCCTTCAGGAAAGAATTTTATCTGGAATGGAAATAAAGAGAAGGGAAGCTATCACTTCGTTAACGGGAGGGTTTTGACACAAAGCAAGAAATCGGGCTTAGGCATAAGAAACTTGAGACTACACCACAAAAGTCTACTCATGAAATGGCTTTGGAGGTTCGGCAGGGAAGATCAAACTCTATGGCAACAGGTCATCACAGAAAAAATATGGGCTAGAGGGACAATGGCTTCCTAGAGCAGTGACAACAACATATGGGGTTGGTGTCTGGAGGTCCATCAGGGCTATTTGGCCTCTTTTTGCTCAGAATATTGCTATTGTATTAGGGAATGGGAGGAAACCATCCTTCTGGAATGATAATTGGCTAGGACATGGACCTCTGAAAGACCTTTTCAGTGACATGAAGGTTTTGAGTCTGAATCCTGAAGTCACAGTGGGAGACATTTGGGACCAGCAGGGATGGATTTCCAACATTAGAAGAGAACTAAATGACTGGGAACTGCCAAGATTCACTGAATTTCTGAATGCTCTTGATCAGTTCAAGGGGACTACAGTGGAGGGAGGATAGGGTTAAATGGACAAGCATAGTAATGGATCTTTTGTAGTGAACTCAGCATACAAACTGCTCAACCAACAGGGTCAGCAAACTCAGCTGTGGAGTTGGAAAACAATATGGCAAGCCAGAATACCAACTAAAGTAGCCTGTTTTGTATGGTTAGCAGCCAAGGATGTTTGTCCAACACAAGACAATCTGATGAGAAGAGGTATGCCATTGTGTTCAAGGTGCTATCTATGTGGAAATGACGCTGAAAGCAGTAGCCATTTATTCCTAACTGTCAGTTTGCTAGAGTTCTATGGCACCTATTTTTCAGTATGAAAGGACTGCCATGGGCCATGCCCAGGAGTACAGGGGAGTTACTTGCTTGCTGGAATTTCTCTGGAGACCTGAGCAAACAAAACAAATGGTGGAAGACTATCCCTGGGTGTTTATGGTGGACCATTTGGATGGAAAGAAACAGTAGATGTTTTGAAGGAAACAGCAACTACTTATAGAAGATCAAGATGAACTTTTTTTTTTTTTGTTTCACTTCTGGTGTAAGGAAGATTTTGTACAGGATGTAGATTCAATGATAGATATGACAGGATCAATGTAGTAGGAGATTAGTGGTGGCAAAATCGATAAAAGAAAGCAGTTATCCACCCATATTATCCATCAAAAAATGGGTTGGATAATGAATATTTTAAAAACGGGTCAAATATGGATAAGAACCATGTTATCCACTTAGAAAATGGATAACTAATATGTTTAATTTTTACATTTGTAAAACATCAAAATTGGGGGTTCCTCAAGTTTGAGAGACTAGGAATTCTCCCAAAAGCGATCATATTCAAGAAGTCAAGGATAATATGGATATCCATATTATCCGCCGGTTAACTCGTTTTTTATCCGTATCAAATATTGGTCGGATGGGATAATTTATCCGTTTTTGACCCGTCCCATATTCG